CAACCACTGCGCCACCAGGGAAGCCCCGCAATTAGCCATTTTAAAGTGCACAATTCAGTGACATTTAATACATTCAAAACGTGCAACCACCACCACAATCTAGTTCCAGAACACTCTCATCAACCCAAAAGGAGACCCCGTATCCATTTACACTCGCTCCCCATCTCTCTGCCCCGGCCCCTGTCACCGCCAGTCTGCGTTCTGTCTCTGATTTGCTGGTTCTTGATCCTCATCAGTTTTGAGAGAGGCTTATTCTTTTTTTCATTGACTTGTTGTCCATCAGGCCTGTTGTATGTTGTCCTGAGCACACGAGCATGCGTTGGTGTTTGCCTCGCTTGGTCAGTTGATGGAGAGGTTCAGCCTCGGGTGTCTGGGTGTGAATTTCCCACTCAGAGGGACCCAGGTCAGTCCCTGTTCTCACACATTGGCGTCCATCCCACAGACCAGCTGCTGGGAGAGAAGGAGCAAAACAGATGTGTCTTCTCCCCTCTCGTGGACGTTAGGGAGACCTGGCTGCAGGTGTGCACACCTGAGCATCTCTGATCATTGCCGTGTTGCCTGCAGAAGACAGTCCGGACTGCTTGGCTTGGCGATCCAGATGCCCCTCCTCTCACCTAAGTTCAAGTCTTTCTATCCTCAACTGCCATCATTCCCCTCCAGGCGCTGTCTGCTCCATATGCACTGCGCATTTTCCCACCTCCCTGCGTTGGCTTCTGCCACCCCTTCCACCTGGAACGCCATTCCCTCACCTTCTCTGTCTGGCATCTTTGAGCCAGCTTCATCTCCTTCCTTTGATCTCTCCTGGCAGATGCAGCAGCTGCTATTTTACCATTCCTGTGGCACCGAGCTTGTCCCCTGCTGGGTGGGTTCCAGTTCCTGGTGCCTCTTGGGCGCTTGGTAAATATTTGCAGACTGAAGAAATTCTCTCTGTCTAGTTATTGTTGTTTGCATCTTGTCATCATCATGAGGGGGGTGCACTGCAGGCAGTGGCTGTGTTTCATCACCCACGCATCCCCTTGCCCAGCTCAGGGTGTGACAGGGGCAGGTCTCTGGATATGCCAACATGCTGTCTTTGTCTGACATCCCCTCTCTGCCCCTCTGCCTTCTAGACGCACCCTTATTTCTCTCCCATCCTCACTTCTACAATGCTGACCCAGTCCTGGCAGAGGCAGTGTCTGGCCTCCACCCTAACCCAGAAGAGCATTCCTTGTTCCTGGACATCCACCCGGTGAGCCCCTGCCTGTCAGCCTGTGGGTGGGCGCGGGGATTTCTGTTTGGTGCACACTTGGCTTTCTCCTCTCCCCACTAGGCACCAAGCTGTTCCAGTGTGGGGGTGATGGGAAGCCTGGATTTCTTTGGCAGTGATAGCTTCTAGGCTATCAAGCCTTCAAATTTTGCCCCGACTTCATAGTGCAAGGACTTTATCTCTTTATAAGGGAATTGTCTCTATAAAAGGATTATAAGAAAGTAAATTAATTAGGAATTATCATCCTGCAAATTAGCCAGAGGCAGCCCTCTGGCTGTGCCAACATAGCATAAAGATCTTTAGGTACCGACAAGAGCCTGGAACATCTTGTGGATAAACTGGGTTCTGGGGAATTTGTCCTGTGTATTGTTTTGTCTGCGAACAGGGACCAGGAGGGTATCGGACCTGTAGATGTGGCCCTCCCGTGCGCATGTTTTTACCCAGTTGCTTCTTTTCTTAGTGCCTCCGTTCACTGGAAATTTGCCCATTTGGACTCGGTGGCTTTTTATCATTGATTAAATAAATTCTGTGGGTTTCTGCTTCCTGAGTGGACACTTGTGGTCTCCCCCACAGGCCTTTTTGGAAGCTCTTCTATCCGGTGCTGTTTCCTGCTGTCTTCCTTGGCACTCCTCAGATTTTCTTAGCTGCTGACTCAATCCCCAGCCCCCAGCACTCCACCTTCTAGCTCTCTCTCTCTCTCTCTCTTTTTTTTTCACTAAAAATCCAGGCTGAGACTTTCCTGGCGGTCCAGTGGTTAGGACTCCGTGCTTTCACTGCTGAGGGCACGGGTTCAATCCCTGGTCGGGGAACTAAAATCCTGCAAGCTGTGCGGCTCGGCCGAATTAAAAAAATAAACAAAATAAAATAAATAAAAATCCAGCTAGTGAAGTCAGCTATGACTGCACACACTCCACATTCAGCAAATATTTCTAGAATGCTCATTATGCTACAGGCATAATTCTAGATTCTTCCACCCACACCAACTCATCTAATTTTCACAATAATCTGAGAGATGGACATTGCTATTCCCATTTTACAGACGGGGAAACTGTAGCCCAAAGAGGTTAAGTACTACAGCTAGTAAATGGGATTCTTGGCTCCATAAGGGAAAGGTCTGTTCTGTCTTGTTAATCGCTTGGATTCTAGTAGTTACCACAGAAGTACTAATATCTCAGTAAATATGGGTTTGATTTACTGAGATATTAGTGCTTGAGAGTGAGTAAGGGATGAGGCCAAATTCAAACATAGGTGTTCTTTGTTTTTTTTGTTTTTTTTTTTGCGGTACATGGGCCTCTCACTGCTGTGGCCTCTCCCGTTGCGGAGCACAGGCTCTGGACGCGCAGGCTCAGCAGCCATGGCTCACGGGCCCAGCCGCTCTGCGGCATGTGGGATCTTCCCGGACCGGGGCACGAACCCGTGTCCCCTGCATCGGCAGGCAGACTCTCAACCACTGCGCCACCAGGGAAGCCCCTTCTTTGTTTTTTAATTAAATTTTTTTTTATTATTTTAAAATTTCCTTTTTCTCTAAACCTGAATACTCAACGGCAATGTCTGTTTTTTAAAAAAATTAATATACTTTCATTTTTGTTTGTTTGGCTGCACCATGCGGCATATGGGATCTTAGTTCCCCGACCGGGGATCGAACCGGCACCCCCTGCAGTGGAAGTGCTGGTTCTTAACCACTGGACCGCTAGGGAAGTCCTTACTTTGGTTTTTTAGAATAGTTTTAGGCCTACAGAAAAACTGAGCAGAAAATACAGAGAGTTCCCAGACATCGTTTTCCCCTGGCACGAAATTTGTCGCAGTCGATGAATGAACATTATTATTAACTATAGTCCATAGCTTACATTAGGCTTCATTCTGTGTTGTTTAAGTTTATGGGTTTTGACAAGTGCATCATGACCTGTATCCACCATTACAGTCTCCTACAGAGTGGTTTCGCTGCCTTAAAAATCCCGTGTGTTCTACCCATTTATCCCCCTATTACCTTCACTCCCATCCAAACTTTGGCAGTGACTGATCTTTTACCGTCTCTGTAGTTTTGCCTTTTCCAAAATATCATATAGTTGGAACCATAGAGTATGTAGCCTTTTTAAAAAAATTGAGGTATAGTTGACGTACAATATTATACAAGTGACAGGTGTGTAATGTAGTGATTCACAATTTTTAAAGCGTATACCCCATTTACAGTTATTTAAAATATTGGCTGTACAAACAGTTGTTTTAATGCCCACTACATTCTGTCCTGTATTAATATGTAGTTAATTAAGTGGGTATTAATGAATTAAGTTGATAGTAATTTATTAATATGAATCTATTGCGTGCTCTATGTTAAATTCATTCTTTATTGTTAGATGTGTTAAGGCTTTTCCATACTGTCTTAAACTTTCAACCAGTTTTTAAAAGGCTTTTATTATAAAGCTAACAAATGGTTTTCCACTTTCTCTTTTAGTTCATTTAGTTCTCTCTCTCTCTCTCTCTCTGCTGGCTTCTGGGCATTCCAGCAAAAAGAGCAAGATCTTTTCTCTGTTCTCACTGGTGACTTTCATTGTGCTGTGTGGATTTTCTTTTTTTTCCCCCACATTGAGAAAGAAACAGTTAGGTTTGGGAGGCTGGAGAGATGCAAACAGCTGTTTTGCAGCAGCGCAGCAGCTGATGCAGTGGATTTCTACTTCTCATTTCAGGTCAGGGGCAGACGGGGAGAGGAGGTGGCCTTGGATTTTGTTGTCGATTTGGGGAGGATGGTCATGGGGTCGATTTGCTGATTTCTGATCTCCTTAGCCCGGAAAACAGAATGCCTGCCGGAAGCGGCTTCTCTGGTGCCTTCTTTCCTGCTCCTGAAACCGGGGTGTGTGTGTGTGTGTGTGTGTGTGTGTGTGTGTGTGTGTGTGTGTGGTGACAGACGTGGGCTCATGGGTCCAAGTTTCTGTTCTGAGATTGCGGGGTGATGGGGGACAGGCGGGGCTTTGCCCAAGAAGAGGGAGCTGGACAGCCAAGGAAGGAAGGAGACACATTTCCTGGAGAAGGAAGTGGCCTGAGTGGAGACCCCAGAATGTAGAGTCTAGAAAGCAGGATGTGTCAGGGTCTCCAAGATCACCCCCAAGTTGGAGGATTTGCTAGGAGGACTCCCAGGACCCAGCACATGGTGGTACCCACAGCTGTGATGTATTGCAGTGAAAGACACAAGGCACAGTCAGCAAAGAGAAAGGCTCACGGGGTGAAGTCTGGGGGAACCAGGCACAGGCCCCCAGAGCCCTCTTCCAGGGGGGTCACACAGGACACCCTTCATTCCCCGTGTGAGGTGTCATCTACCAGGGACGCCCAGTAGAGACTCAGTGCCCAGGATTCTTACTGGGGCTGGTCATATAGGCGCCGTCTACCTGGCACAGACCGAAATTCCGGACTCCCGGAAGGATATCAGGTGTCAGCATAAACCACAGTGTTTGTACAAACTGTCCTGGTACAGTGAGCCCCTCTTATCTGTCAGGGAGAGGTGGGAGCCCTCCTGAAATCCAGGATCGCAGACCCCAGCCAGGGACAACCTTGCTAGCAGGGCAGCCTCACCCCTGCTGGCTCTTTTGCACACGGGTGATCTCACTCCCGTCCCACCGGGTTCTCAAGTTCAAACTCTCCCCCGTCCTGGGAGCATGGCCTTTGGCCAGTTGCTCTGTGCCCCTGGGGTTCCAAAGGACCTCAGGATGCCAGGCTATATTGGAAGATAATGCCCTCTCCCACTGGTGTATGTGATAACAACACAGCATTTATGGCTCTGAGTGTGGCTGTCTTGCATCCCTTATTTTGCCCTTGCAGAAACCCTGTGAGGTGGGCAGAATTGTCTCCATTTTCCAGATGAGAAGAGTCTCAGCTAAGAAGCAGCAGTCTGTCCTCAAACCTAGGTTCCTTTCCACTCTCATTTCCTGACATCATTCTGGAAGCACCTTCCTGGTTTTGGTCCTGTATGTGTGTCACTTTTTGTGTTATTGACTTACTACTTAAAAAAGAAAAAAACTCATCAAAAAAAACACAAAATCCTGCACAAAGGAAGCTTTCTATCATGACCTCAAATCGGAAATTAAAAATGTCTCTAAATAGGGAATTCTCTGGCGGTCCAGTGGTTAGTACTCTGCGCTTCCACAGCAGGGGGCGCGGGTTCGATCCCTGGTCGGGGAACTAAGATCCCGCAAGCTGTGCAGCGCAGCCAAAGAAAAAAAACGTCTCCAAGTAAAGAACGCAAAATATCACTAGGCTTTCTGTAAAATATCGTCGCCTGCCCTTGGCACGAGCCTGAGGCCAGCTCTGTTGAAATGGAGATCGGGTGGAGTTGTATTGCAGAGGCACTAGGGGCCGAGCAAGCTCCCTGCAGACTTTCTCTTTGAGATGCTGGTGGGGAGGGAATGGGGGGTGAATGGGGAAGATAGTGACTTTATTAACATGCAAATCTATTTTATTTTATTTGGAGGCTGGAGGGAGGGGCGATGACTGGGAAACGTCCTTCTGCACTGGGGGATGCATGGTGCAAGAGAACAGATGGAAAGGGTTAGTTTTTTTTCCATCCAGAGCAAGGCTGGCTCACCAGAGGGGAGCCCTCGAGGTCGTGGACATAAGAGCCATTTGGGGAACATGTGTTTAGCCATCAGGGCTTTGAAAGCGGAAGTCCCGTCAGATGGGCAGTTCATTTGGGATACGCACCCTCGAGCGTGACCAGGGAGAGGGCTGTTTGAAGGGGTCCCCAGGGCCCCAGGGAAGCCAGGCCCCTCACTGCTCTTCTTGCTGCAGGTCACCGGAATCCCCATGAACTGCTCTGTGAAACTGCAGCTGAGCCTCTACGTTAAGTCTGTGAAAGGCATCGGGTGAGTGGGGTCTGGGAGCCCCGGGCTGCCTTGCTGTTGAGAGATCAGGGACTCGGGACTCTGGCCATGTCCTTGGGAACCTGGCATCTGGGGAGAGAGATGGTCCTTCGGGATATGGAATCTGGTCCCTGCCCCTTGAACCCCTGAGGGGGGTCTTAGCTCTCAGCTGAGCCCAAACTGCGTCCTGACATCCCTGCTCTGTTCTCTCTTGACATTTGTCCCCCAAATTAGACTCTTCCATCCAAGCTGTTTCCCATTCGACAGAGTAGCAAGAATTAAATCCTGCCAAAACCAAGTGTTGGAAAGTGGAAACTTAGCAAACAGTCTTCTGAAGTGAGACCGTTCACTTGACGGGAGGAATTCTTTAAGTGCTGGTTTTCTTTTTCTTTTTCTTTTTTTTGAGTTGGTTTTCAGTAACCGCTTTATCAAGATTTAATTCACACAGTATAAAACTCACCCTTTAAAAGTGCACAATTCGGTGATTTGTAGGACATTCACAGAGCTGGGCAGCATCACCCCAATCAATTTTGAAACATTTCCATCCACCCCCTCAAAAGAAACCCCACACCCTTTAGCAGTCACTGCCCATTTCCCCAGCCCCAGGCAACCCTTAATTTACTTTCTGTTCCTGTGGATTTGCCTATTCTGGCCATATCATGTGAATAGAATTATATAATATGTGTCTGGCTTTTTTCACTTAACATGATGTTTTCAAGGTTCATCCATGTTGTGGCCTGTGTCACTGCTTCATTCCATTTTATGGCTGAATGATATTCCATTGCATGGAAAGACCATGTTTTTATTCATCAGTTGATGGACATTTGGGTTGTTTCTACTTTTCGGCCATTATGAATAGTGCCGCTTTGAATATTTAAAGTTTCTGTGTGGATGTATGTTTTCTCTTGGGTAGATACCTTGCAGCAGAATTGCTGGGTCATATGGTGACTATGTTTAAGAGTTTCAGGAGCTGCCAGACTGGTTTCCAGGGCGGCTGCGACATTTTACACTCCCACCAGCAGCGTGGGAGGTGCCAGTGTCTCTCCATCCTTGCCAGCTCTTGTTATAACATCGAGTTAGGATAGAGCTGGGTGAGGGAGCACACTGGTCATTACGTCAGGGTCTGTATTTCTTTATTTTAAAAACATTTTTTTGGTCGCACTGTGTGGCATGCGGGATCTTAAGTTCCCCAACCAGGGATCGAACCCGTGTCCCCTGCCTTGGAAGTGCAGAGTCTTAACCTCTGGACCACCAGGGAAGTCCCCTGTACTTCTTAGCATATTTGAAATAGTTTCATTAAAAAAAAAAATTCCCCCAGAAAGATTCCTGGGCTGCAGGAATGTGAGCATCTGTTTGGCTTTATGAGACGCCTGTCAGCTGGAAAGAATAACACTTTGTCGAAGCTGGTGAGCATGTCAGTGCAGCTCATCCTTACTCCCCCACTAGCTTTTCATTTTTACATTTTGAGGCTGCTCAGAGAGTTTGTTCCTGAAGCGTTTGTGGCTGGTGAAACGGCCCCACGCGTGCATTAGGCGTCTGCTGCCCAGACTTGAGCTCCACAGGGCTCCCGTCCCTCTGTGCCTGGTCTGCTAACTTGGATGTGCGGGGCCGGCAGGTGACTAAGTGGAACCCGAGGGGATGGGACCGAGGGCCAGCCTCTGTCCAGCACCAGGGCCCATGCACTCAGTGTAGCCACATCCTATGCATTTGCAAATGCATTTTTCAAAATCTGGATGTTAACACACGCTCTCTCAATTTCACCTGGTGGGAGTTCATTCAGATTTTTGACAAATGCTGCTCAAGCCAGCAGTCTATCTGGGTGGCTGGATTCTGCCTACTGGTGGCCCTGAGCCACCACCCTGATGGCTCTGGGCCTCTGTGTTCCCACCTGTTCGGAACCAAGGCCACACAGCTGCCTGGCTGCCCCTGTGGGCTGGGATGGTGGTCTCAAGGGCGGTAGTCCAACAGCAGTGCTTATCAGCATCTCCCAGGGCTGTTGAGGAACCCGTGTGGGAAAAGTCTGGAGACACCGCTGCCTGCCCGGAAGCAGAGCTGTCTAGCTGTGACTTGTCTGAGGAATTTTTGTGCTGTTTGCTCACAAGATAAAGGCAGCAGGGTTGCACACTCTGTGCATTCAATTGACATCAGTTCTTACAAACTCAGATTAAAGAGGCTGAAGTGAAGGGGATGCGCCATTGTATTTCCAGAGCGTTCTCCGTGTCTGTCTCCTCTGTAGGTGATACGGTGTAAATTCATATCACTGCACCATACTCTACTGAATAAGCGCTTTTTGAGAATTGTGATTGAGGATTTTGACCTTCTGTGCTGACTCTGGTGCCTGTCCCCTGAGAGAGTGCCAGCTCCCCTCCAGCTGTGCCTTGTTTAAGCAGACCCAGGAATGGTGAAGTTACAGAATATTTGTTTGTCCAGTTGTTTGCTGGCATTTGACAACAAGATAACAATAATAAATATCGAGCACTATATGTCTTTTTTTTTTTTGGCTGTGCCACACAGCTTGTGGGATTTCATTTCCTTAACCAGGGATTGAACCCAGGCCACAGCAGTGAAAGCCCAGAATCCTAACCACTAGGCCACCAGGGAACTCCCCTAGAGCACTTTTTATATGCTGGGTATTTTTCATGGTGTCGCGTTCCATCCTCACTAGAGCCCTGTGAGGAGTTCCATTATAATCCCCATTTTACAGAGGAGGAACAGAGAGGGTAAGTAGCATGGCCAAGGTCACACAGCTATCTAGTAGCTGACTGTGTCGGGGGTCCCCAAGACCACTCTCAGGTTTGATGATTCACTGGGAAGACTCAGGGGACCCAGCATGTAGTTAATAGTCACGGCTGTGATTTATTACAGAGAAAGGATTCAAAACATAATTGGCAAAGGGAAAAGGCTCACAGGGTGAAGTGTGGGGAAACCAGGCACAGGCTTGTAGAGCCCTCTCCCAGGAGGGTCACACCAGGGCACGCTTCATTCCCCCAGTGACAAGTTGTGACAACATGTGTGAAGTGTCCCCTACCAGAGATGCCCAGTAGAAACTCAGCACCCAGGGTGTTTACTGGGGGCTGGTCACGTAGGCGTCTTCTGCTTGGCATGGACCCAGATTCCAGACTCCCCAAAGGAAAGCAAGTGATCAGCATAAAGCAGTGTTGTTTGTTAGCTGGGCGTATTGCCATCCTGAATAAAATTGGGATTCTGTTTCTAAAAAAGAACAAATGGATATCAGCTAGGTCCCTGGCAGCCCCTCCACGTAAGAATTTTTCATTTAAAAAGATATTGTTGGATTGTCAGGTTGCACCCCGTCAGGAGATGCCCATTGCTCAAGCCCATGCCGATCAAGTTGCTGCAACATCAAATCCCTCCTGACCCTGGGGCTTCCAATCACAGGTCCAGAGCTGTCTGATCTAAGACACCCCGACAAAACTTCTCACTTGCTTGGTCTCGCTTATTTCCAGACAAACTGGGAAGATCAAGCCGGTGATCCTGCCACTGATGTGGTTTGGAGAGGTAAGGCTGCTTCCCTCACCCTGGGTACTGGGCACCCGAGGGCGTGGTGTCTGATGCCTCAGTGAGGAGTTGATGTGGGCATTTGGGGCAGGAGGCTGTGTGTGGTGGGGACGCTGGGCTGGGGTAGCTCGACTGAGTAATACAGAACAATCTGTTAGAAACTTTGCCCTCTCCAAGCACTTTATGTCAGTTATCCCACTGGGTTGAAAGGATCACACGAGATGAGGAACACAGGAGCTGCATGAAACTGTAAAGTCCCTGGTCAGGGTGTAAAATAATTTTGTTAACGCACGTGGCCCCTTCTCCTGAGATGAAGGGAAGTTGGTTTTCAGGGTGTCAACTTTTTATTGAAATTTCTTCTCTCCCAGCTTTTCCGGGTTCCTTCTGGCTTAGCTCATTTTAAATCAGGGTGAGCTAACAGCTGGAACAGACAGGCTCCAAATGTCAAGTTCACTTCCCACTCACGTCACAGTCTGATGGGGGGCAGGCGGAGCTCTGCTCCACGCAGACATTCAGGGACATCCAGGCTCCTTCCATCTTCTGGTCCTGCCCTCTTGGAGATCTTCAGAATCCGTCTCCATTCAGTAAATTGGGAAAGAGATGGAGAGAATCATATGGGAGCCAGGCGTGGAAGTTGCAGCATCACTGTGCCCCCATCCCATTGGCCAGAACAAGTCATATGGGCCTGACTAGCTGCAAGGGAGTCTGGGAAATGTAGTCCTGTTGTGTGGCCCCAGAGGAAATAAGAGGCATGGCTGGCTCCATCCATCGCATGCTTTGGCCAGTGGGCTTGAGATGGGAAAGGGGTTGGGGGACGGAGGGCTGTGGTGTGGGGTGGTGTCTGCACCCTCAGCCCACAGTACATGGCACCAGTCCATTTGTTTGTCCTTGTCCTTCGCCAGAGCGGGGCAATGGAGGGTGAGCCCCTTCAGACGTTCTACACCCAGCTGGTGTTGATGCCCAAGGTGCTGCATTATGCCCAGTACGTGCTCCTTGCCCTGGGCTGCGTCCTGCTGCTCATCCCCATCGTCTACCAGATCCGGAGCCAAGTAGGTGGTGGCCAGAGCCTGGCCAGGGCCGAGAGGCCCCTTGCTTGCCTGCTTGGGGGAAGGAGGGGCTCAGATCAGATCCCCCAGCAGTCCCTTCCTGCTGTGCCCACGGACACCTTCAACCTGCAGCCCACCTCGGGCGGCAGTCCTAGGTCTCCGCCTGGGCTGGGGAGCTGTTGCTGCATCCTTGCTTCTCTTGCATCTTCTGTTACCACCTCTCTGCCTATTCTGGGAGGCCTGGGGACCCTCCCTTGGAGGGGCCGCAGGTGGTTTGGGATCATGAGACCTGGTACTTGAATGGTTTGTTCTTCAAGTCAGCAGCTGCTGGCTTTCAGGCTCTGGCAGGTACAGGGCATACGACAGTGAACAAGGCAGTTCCTACTCCCGGGGGAAGGGGGGTGCGGGGACTGGCATTCTAGTTGGAAAGACAGGTGGAAACCAAGTAAGTAAACAGAAGAGATGATTTCACCGATGATAAGGATAATAGAAAATGTGATGGGCTTAGGGCAGTGCTGTCCGATACAAATACAACATGAGCCACGTGTGTGATTTTAAATTTAAATTTTCTAATAGCCACCTTAAGTAAAAGGGAATTAATTTTAATCATATCTTTTATTTAACCCGAATATATCCAAAATATCAATATGACCATGTCAACCTGTAATCAATATAAAAAATATAAATTTTTTTACATTTTTCTTCAGTTAAGTCTTTGGAATCCGGTGTCTATTTTACATTTACATCAGGTCTTGACTGGGACTCTCCCCTTTTCAAAGCCTCAATGGCCATATGTGGCTACCAAGTTGGACACCGCAGCATCCAAGGGCATTGGCGACAACTGTAGAGATAATGTCAGAAAAGGCTTCTCAGAAGAGGTTGAATTTAAGCTTAGAAGTGAATGCTCAGCACAGAGTCAGGGAAAG